AAAAAAATTACAAAATGTAATTTTAAAAAATGTATTATTTTTCCAAAGGTACCACAATGGGACTCTGCTGGACAGGAAAGTGTACAAGTATGAAGAGGATCTTGTACTGTCGGACCTAAAGCTGGAGCAGTCAGGAGAGTATTACTGCAAAACCAGCAGCCCTGCAGGCAGCATCAAGTCCTCTCCAGCCTTCCTCACTGTGATTGGTATGTATTATATGGTCTAGCACCTCAGACTAGGAAAGCTTCAGAACATAAACTAGTCCTTCAGACACTTCCACCATCACAGAAAAAAAAGTCATATCACAAAAGATGCAATGTGCAGAACAGGACTTGCCACATTAACAGAACACCAGGGTTAATCCGATGGATCAGAGGAGGGTGCGTGGATGACATATACTCACCACTTTCTCAAAAAAACAAAGACAAAGACAAATAGAATTGGAAAATAAAAATATCAGGCCTTGCAGAATGCAAAGGAGAATGTTTTATTATGTTTATATTGGTTGAAGGTCTGGCTTTATAAACAGATGGCTATGTGAGATGGCTCTGGACTTTACAAAACCTCATACCCAATTTCACCAGAACACTGTGTTGAAGTGAAATCCAAGATTGTCAATAAATCCTGTTTCTTTTCTTTCTGTGTCAGACAAGTATGCATTTCCACATCCCTGTGGGAGTGCTACACACTGGTTATATCCTTCAGGTGCTTGTTAGCTAAGACACAGATTAACAAACAGGGGGGTTTTATGAAAGGTGCTGAAGCAATTCGTCCCAGGCAAATCCCTGAACTCCAAAGGTTAATAAGGCAGGAGCCACTGCATAGGTGGGGGACTACACCTGCATTTCAGAGCACGATGACAAAGACATCTTATTCTTTCAGCCCAGTGCAGTTTCTTCTTTTCACATTTTGTATTATGCAAAGGTTTAATTTAATCTTATATAAAATATGTTAATTTCCGTTTATTGAGGTGTTATTGAGGTGTGAACAGAATTGTTTATCAAAGGAAACGCAAAAGTCTGACTGTAAAGCCATCAGCAAAACTGTAATGGTATTTCATTCACATCACATTGCTTCTCCTGCTTTCAAATAATGATTTACTTAGGAAATGGGGAGCTTTAAAAGTACACTTGACCCTACAGTAAGCTGAACCATGATATCATGCACACTGATTCTTCTGCCAGTGTTTGGGTGAACAATCATTCCCAGCTTGATAGTTGGTAAATAAATGTTCTCTTCAACTTCATGTCATTCACATTTTAACATCTGAACTGGCGTGCATAAATTCTGTGTGTGTCTTTTGTTAGTGTCATATCAATGCTAGCTGTAAGTTATTGTTTAATTCACAGCCAAAGGAACACCAGCGTGCAATTCCACTCCTGAAACACACTTAATCAGACTGCCCATTGACTGTGTTCAACCTGGGACTGACTCTAAGCACTACAATGCCGGCCGCTGCCCTCACAACCAATGTGCTGGCTCCTTAGACTATGATATGCGCTGCAAAGATGGAGCTGGTTTCTGTTGTGGGGTTCAAAAGATGGAAAGTCGAATCATTGACTGTGGGAGTTACAGTCTTCCTATCCGGGCTGTCACACAGTGCAGCTGTCAGAAATGTGTGCAGCCAACTGTGCTGGTTCGTGGTAGAGTGGTCGTAGCTGACAATAATGAGCCTCTACGTTTTGGGCACATCTTTATCGGAAAAGAGAGGGTGGGCACCACTGGATATCAAGGAGGTTTCATGTTGCAAATAACACCAGATACACAGAGATTAGTAGTGAATTTTGTTGACCCTACTCAGACGTTTCTTGACACTCCTAAGGTGTTCATCTTTGACAAGAAAGGTGGATCCATCTACCATGACGTAAAGGTGATGAGAAAGCAGGCCCCGATTGACATCAATGCAGGAGAGACAAACTCTATTGACCTGGGAGATATTAAAGGGGAAGATCCCATTGGTCAGTTAGTCATTCCTCCCAATTCCTTCCATAAGGACAATGGAGACGTCTATGAAGGAACTGTAAAGGCCAGTGTAACATTCATTGACCCAAGAAATATCACCACAGCAGCTGCAACCCCTGGTGACCTCAACTTTGTGGATGATGAAGGTGACATGCTACCTTTGAGGACCTACGGCATGTTCTCTGTGGACTTCAGAGATGAGACCAACAAAGAGGTGCTTGGAGCTGGAGCAGTTCAAGTCCTCCTGGACACACAGCACGTCAAAATGCAGGAGCACATTCCCAAAATGAAACTGTGGTCTTTAAACCCAGACACAGGTGTCTGGGAAGAGGAGAGTGACTTCTCCACAACCACAACAACTACTGGTGGTCATGGGCGGAGCAAACGAGAGGAGCGCACCTTTCTCATAGGCAACATGGAAATCAGAGAGCGAAGGCTCTTCAATTTAGATGTGCCTGAAAACAGACGCTGCTATGTCAAAGTCCGCGCCTACATGAGTGACAAGTTTCTTCCTAGTGAACAGTTAGAGGGTGTCGTGATCAGCCTGATAAACCTGGAACCCAAACCTGGTTACTCCTCTAATCCCAGGGCATGGGGTCGCTTTGACAGTGTCATAACTGGACCCAATGGGGCCTGTTTACCGGCTTTCTGTGATGCCAAGAGGCCAGATGCTTACACAGCTTATGTCACTGCAATGATCAGTGGGGAAGAACTTGAAGCAGCTCCTTCCTCTCCCAAGATGAATCCAAACATCATTGGAGTATCCCAGCCATATCTCGATAAATTAGACTACCAACGCTCTGATCATGAGGATCCAGCTCTGAAGAAAACAGCTTTCAGAATTAACTTGGCAAAGCCTAACCAAAACAACTTTGATGAGACCAATGGGCCAATATATCCATATCAGAATTTGATAGCATGTGAAAATGCCCCTGTTGATGCAAATCATTTCAGATTCTTCAGAGTGGAAAAGGACAAGTATGAGTACAATGTTGTCCCCTTTGAGGAAAATGATTTGACAACCTGGACAAGAGACTACCTCTCATGGTGGCCTAATCCCCAAGAGTTCAGAGCATGCTTCATTAAGGTCAAAATCCTTGGACAGAAGGAGGTGATGGTCAGGTCAAGGAATCTAGGAGGAACACACCGGGTGACTAACGGCAAACTTTATGGCATTAGAGACATTCGGAGCACCCGGGACATGCGAGAGGCCAACACCTCAGCAGCCTGTTTGGAGTTCAAATGCAGCGGCATGTTGTTTGATCAAGCTGATGTAGACCGATCTCTCATAACAGTCCTCCCACAGGCGAACTGTCACAGGATCAGCACTAATAACCTCCTGCAAGAGTATCTCATCAAACACCCACCAGTTGCTCTAAACAACGAGTCCCATGGATTCACCATGCTGGCCCCTGTTGATCCTCTGGGACACAACTATGGCATCTACACAGTCACAGACCAGAATCCCAGGGTGGCCAAAGAGATTGCTATTGGGCGCTGCTTTGATGGCACCTCAGATGGTTTCTCAAGGGAGATGAAGTCAGACACTGGAGTGGCACTGACCTTCAACTGTCCAGAGAGGAAAATTAACAGGGAGAGCCTTTTCCAGCGTCTGCAGACAAACCCAGGTTTGACACTGTCTCAGATGGCAAGGGACATGAGGGAGATGGAGGGTCGGCAGGTGCAGAGGTCATCTACCCGGGTGATGGTCTATCCTTCCGAGCAGCAGGGCGGGACCCAGAGTCGCAGAGGCAGCTATACAACCAGGAGGAGAGTATCCACGCGCACACAGCAACGCCAGTAGAAGTGCCAAGAAGTAGGTTTAGATAAGATAATTTGGTACAAGTTTACACCAATGGCAATATCAGAATGATTTATATGTCCTTTCCTTTTTACTTCCAGGTCTTCAGTTGAGACTCATACAATGGCACAGTATCAAAGAAGTAAAAATTGTCTGTGGATGAGTATGAATTCTCTCTTGATTATGAAAATTGCAAAACTGACATAGATATCAATTCACCAAAAGCATCAAGTGTGATTGAAGAGATTCATTAGTCTTCTACTTACTTGAAGGGTTTGGTATGTTCACTTTTCTCTCCCCCTAAAAGACACCTATAGTATCATTTGTCTACATGTAACACAGTTACTGGAATTTATTTAATTGGCTGTGGTCTAATTTTAGCAATGAGCAGATTTCAGCTGGCTTTAGTGAATGTAACTTTTATAGATCTAATTAATGGCATTCAGTTCTTCCAGGTGTTTGTTCATGTCAGGCCCCAAGCACTTCATAATTTGCTATTGCTTTCCATTGAACTCACACTTTTCTTTAAGATCAAAATGTCCTGTCTGCAGCAGACACTGAGCCCTTTTCCTACAAACTCAGAAACTCTACTAATGGGAGGCACACTCAGAAGAGACAGTGGGGTGACGTACACTATGCCACCCAGGGAACAGAGGATGTTTTCAGTCTTCTTGCTTCTTAATGTTTTTCATTAGAGTACCTTAAAGGCAACCATGGACTTTTTTCTGTTGTTGACTAATGTGTTTGTGAGCTGCTTTTATGTCTTGTGCAATAACTATGCAGTATAATTTAACTTGAAAATTATTAAAAATTAGCATGTAACAAACTATTACAGTACATAAAAAGTGCTGCTGGCAAATGACATGACTCCTTCAGTACATGTGGCACGTGGTGTGGTATAAGGTGTTTGTACGAGATCTTGCACAAGACTCATTTTGAGTGATCTAAGCAAGTAATTTCCCAGCTTTGTAATCATTCTTTCATTCTTTGAACTGCATAGAATCTATTACTTTTTTTTGCTTTGCTGCTTGTCACAGCTGATTTTACAATTCGAAAATCACAGTAATTTTTTCAGTTTAAGAGAGCGGTATTATCAGTGGGAGTTAAAGCTCCCAGTGGAGCCAAAACCTTTGTATCATCATCCTCTAACACCTGAGCAATATGTAAGAAGTAACTTCTGATTTTCCTGGACACATTTTCATAAATACTGTCACTGTGACAATATGTGTAACGATATTACTTTAAAGTATACACCTTGATATTTATTGAATCAGATAGGTTATTAAGCTAAAGAATATCTGATTATTTTAGCTGAAGTCTGTAAAAGGAAAAAAAGTCAGATAATAGCTCCAAGTTTATTTATCAATAAAATGAGCTCTTACAGACCCTTAGCAGAAACTCTTCAAGCTGAACTACTCTAAAACCAAAGAAGGGGGACCATCAAAGAAACCAACAAAGGCTGATAATTATATAGAACATTAACATGAGAACTATTAAAACATTCGAGCCCAAATAGCCAAATTAGTTAAGCTCCAGGAATGAAGCTCAGTAAAAAATAACATATTGAGACGAAGTGGATTTACCATCAATGCCAATGTGGAGTTATGTAAATGAAATGTACTGTATTGTAACCTCACACTTGTACTTTGATACACTTTAAAGAACTACTGTATCTCTGTCCATTATGTACTATGAGCAACAAACTCCAGAAAGACACTAAAACTGGAAAAAACTATAGTGTGACCTCTTGTGATGCCTTCATCATCAGTGCTGACCTCTCTAATGACAGGCATGTGGGCCATCCTCAGCAGAAGAGTTAGAATATAGAAATGGAATGGAAAATTCCCTTGCTATAGACATAGCATCCACCCTGTAAGGAAAATGATGATTGAATCCAGGTGTGGGAAGGGATAAGTCCTTTGCCATGGTGTCTGAGGTCAGCTGAGGAGGCCCAGCAGCTGTAGAGCAATTGGAGGAAATGTTACATCAAAGACATAAGAGAAAAAGATTATCTAAAGATTTAATCACACTGGGGCACTGTTTGGTAAAAGGAAAAAAGCAAATGAAACTATTAGAGGTCTTTGGCCTCACTAGTCCATCACTATAAAAGTATTTGCACATGAAGTACATGAAGGAATGCAGGTTTTTGGAAACTGTTTTAACAGAATAATTGGCTTATTCATGAGGAGATGAATCCGTCCCTGGTAGGCTAGTGGTTAAGGCGCAGTGCTCCTGCTGCTGCAGTCAGGGTTGTGTCAGGAAAGGCATCCGGCGCAAAACGTGCCAAATAACATATGACGATTCTCTGTGGTGGCCCCTAAGATGGGAAAAGCTGAAAGTGACTTTTTATTCATGAGGAGATGAATTACATGGACAAGGTAACAATAACAGCTTGAATAAACATTATGCATGGGAAGTAAGAGCTTTCCAGTTACATTGTTTTCTGGGGAACGTCAGAGGAGATAAAATAACTTCTGCAGTGTTTGGTTAATGTTTTCCATGTCTTTAGAATCAAATAAAGTACAGAGTACAGGCGCCAATTGAACAGATAAAACACCAAAGATTTATTTATTTATTTATTTATGAATATTTGTGGAGTGGTAGTAGTAGTAATAGGGAGTCATTCAATGTTAATAACAAAAATATGGTTTAATGGAGCTTTTTAAAATGGAAAGTTTGACATTTTGCGAAATATGCATATACTATTTGCTTACTTAGCAAGAGTGAGATGATAGTGATACCGTGCTCATATCTGTATGGTAAATATGAAGTTAACAGGTCTTCTGGTAAACTCAGCTTTTGTATGAATGAAAAAAAAACAGTATTATAATGATTGCAAAATTAATTTAAAAATTTGAAGCGGATTTTTTTTTAAACACGTCACCTGAATTTGCCTCTCTGTCACAGAATTCACTGGGTGCATGTAATACTGACGGGCACCGTGTAACTTCAGGGCAGAAAAGCACAAATCCACCAGAAATTCACAATTTAACAGTAACTTAAGCATGAACAGATTTTCTCTTCTATACTGTCCAGCTGGTCTCAGAGAGATCATAATTTATACAGGATGTTATCCTTGAACCTTTCCACCACTTTCTGGAGTACACAAAGTGAGGTGTATATTTGCCACTGTGCTCCAGGATGCCATCCTGAGCTCCAGTTAAAAAAAGTATGATAATCCTTTGTAAACGCTTAACTATTGCATGGCAATGGCAAGCTCCTTGTTTCTCTCTGAATTTTTGTGTTAACTGTATGTTTTATGAAATCTGCTAGAAATGTATGAACAAGAAACTGTAAATAAATTTTTTGTGTAAACATTTTGATTTTGTCTTGAGGAAACATGGAAAAGTCAGAAAAGTTTTAAAATGTCTCATTTCTGGAGGTAAGCTTTTGTCTCCGAGTTTCTCCTGCAGAAGCTACCAACCCCGAGCGACTCCACAGCAGCTCATCTGGCTATCTGCAACGCTCCATCTCCTGAGGTAGCCTGCACCAGCTCCTCTACTACCTGGGCCTTTCCCCTGCCTCTCACAGCCTTCTACGTATCCACATCACAGCAGTTCACCTCCAGATTTTGCGCACTCCTACCAACCTGCCTCTGGGTTTGCTGGATGACTCCTCTCCTGCACTCCAGCCCTCGAGTTATCTACTGACGCCACTGGGCCTCTAGCCAGCCAGCTACAACTCCTGTATCTGCACTAGTCCTGCAACTGCAGGGTTCACCTAGAGCACACTGACCTGAACCAATTCCCAGCCTGCAGTCGGTGTCCATCAGCTTTGTTCACTGTACTTATAATAAACACTCCTTTTGACCAGAACTGTGAATTTGCTATCTGAGTCCAGCCTGCTTCTCTCACCTCCCAGTGAAAGACACACCAAACAACTGTAGTTCACATAAGAAACAAGAAAGGGGCAAAATGCACTAAAATTCAATGGGCATATGAAAAATTATTTGTACAGATAAAACTAAAGTCTAATGTGAATGCTGGTTTCTTCTATGTCTTGATCCCACTCATGGGATGTTATGCCAAGATGTAAAAAAAAAAGAAAGAAAAAAGAAACCCTCCAGTGTTTACTGACTTTTCCACTGACAAAAAATAGCTACACCCTCCCAGATGAGTTATAATGCACACAGCCAGATATCTGGTGCACACAACATTTTTAGCCAGTGGAATTATTATTGTAATAAGGTTGGGCAAGAATGAGCACAGTAGGGGGGAAAAGGAGAGTGTTGAGCCACTGTGTCACTGACACCTTCTTGACTGCTAACACAATATGAGTTACTGCTCTCACCACTTAGAAATTAGTAACTACACTCACGTCAGTGCACACACATTTCACTTTTCCTGGGTCAGTGGTGCATTTCAGGTCATGAGCTTTCCTCTGGTGCCTTTTAACCTTCATGTTGTTTTCATTTCATGCTAAACAACTTGGTGTTCCCAGTCAAAAATGACCGCTCCATTAAAACTCATCATAAAGAGTGTAATAATACATATATTATCACTATTTATTGTGTTAAAATTTTTTATCAACAAGTTCTTGTGAACATTACAAGTTTAAAACTTCTATTTGTTATTTATGGCCTTTATGCCTCATTGATCTGAGCTTGAATTTGCATTCCAAAAAACATAATTTCTGGATTATTTTGACTATAATAAATAATCCGATGAAACATAGTAAACTGTTTATCACAGACTACTTTGGGTCAAAGTTACCAAGGACATTTGTTTTGAAACCATTTAAAATTTTTATACAGTCACATAAAGTAACACCTGTTGTGGTCCTGGTCAAAAGTGACCAGGAATATTTTATTTGTGTACAAAGGAAATTATCCCAAAACTACACTTGACAATTTCATAATATTCCACGATCAATGTCTTAATACATTAAAGAAGAACTAACAAGAACAATAACATTACAATGTTCATCAGTCTATCAGATGTGTTTTATACTGCTTGAAAGGGCTGCGTCTACTAAAAGCAACCACACGCTCATCCACTGTGCTGTTTGGACTTGGGTTATAGATGAGGATGGCACGCCACCCACTTGTCTCAAACCTCTCTGATCGCTGCCAGTTTGTCTTGTTGACAATGGCCTGGTTTTGTATCACAGTTGTCAAAGTGAATCACCTGTGACAACATGGGTGGACTTACATGGTGGCCCGAAAATTTCTGACCAGACTCTGCTTCCCATAAACTACTGGCAGATTCATTTCCTTCCAGTTGTCTTTGTAAATCCGTTTCCCCTCCAAGTTGGTCATGTTTATCACTGTGGTTTTGATGGACTCAGTTCAAAGCAGGATTTGATGCCATCAATCCAGGATATGGCATATTTTGTAGGTCCTGGAGTCATCCTGATGACATTTTCAGATGAAAGCCTACCTGGATTCTCAGGTGGGGGATGAAGACCAGGATAAGTTCCCATTCTTTGAAATGTGACAGCAGCCTCAGCATGGCCATCCTCTTCATCACTGGATTCCTCCTCATCGGTTACTTCTTGGTCTGGATTATATTTCATGTCATCTTCATCTTCTGACACTTCCTCCTCTAATCCATCCTCACTGTCAGTTTCCTAGCCTCTTTCCGTGTCACCAGTGTGGTGATCAAATGTGCAATCAAGAGCCTCACTTATCAACCTGCCATGGTGCTGCCATACAACGAACTGTGAGCAAGACCTTATATACCAAAGCTATGAGAAAAATTCAGTGCTATTGAAACAATGTTGCAACTGTCTGTGAGAACTGCCAACACAGGTGTTGTTCACATGGGAGAGAGACTCTACTGGGCAAAGGTTCCTGTAGTGGTTTCCAGGGAGCCCAAGGTGTGTGTGTGTGTGTGTGTGTGTGTGTGTGTCCATCTGACAAATAAGAATGTACCTGAGCTCAGTTTTTTACAGTAATTGTTGTCTCCCCCATTCATTTCTACTGACCGGTCATTTTTGACCACGAACACTAAGAGTGTTCAAAAGTTGAATAAAGCAAACAAAATTGTATGCAAATTGATACTTCATATTTTTGTGTTGAAATCCTTTGTGGACAAAGCCATGGAATCCAAGGTCAGTCTGATCAAATTACCTACATTTTTCAGAGATAAAATTTTAAAACAATCGAATTTGACCAGAACACAACATGAGGGTTAAAGGCTATTTGCATACCTGTCTACGTACAGTCCAGGAATGAAAAGAAATGCTGGTGGAGACATCTTAATACTGGGAGTGGCACCAATCGTAATTCCATTGCCCTGCAAGTGTGTTCTATTTGCTGGAACTTTATGCGGGTTAAAAACAGTCCAGAAGCTCTAGAAATTCAGAATTCTGTTGAGTGACATCACTGGAATAATTATTCAACCAAAGGCCACAACTCAACAAGTGTGGCAGCTTGTCTGTCAGTGGAATAGTTTGAGACTACAGTGTTGAAGAAAAGGAAAACTGTGAGAGTAACCATGAGACCATTTAGTTTAGTTAGATATTAGCAGTTGAAAGAACATGGTCATACATATCAATCTGTTAAATAGAAAATCTTCCACTAACTATGTAGAAGCTTTATGCTCATAAAAGGAAACCTATCTTGCTTATTCCAATACACTGGCAGTTATTTTTGGACCTCAAAATTACACCACATAACAAGTGATAATTAGCATCTGGATGTTTTGCCAAGACATCAGGGGGACATCCATTTTACTCATCTGCACTATTGATTTTATCCTCCTTCAAATCACTAGATTAGTGCAATATTTCTCACACATTGTAATGCCTCCCATCACTTGTAATAAGACAGCAAGACACAAAGGTGTCATTTCTACCTGCATTTGAATTCATCCCATAATAGCAATTATAATTTGTGCACATTGTCAGTTTGTATTTAAATTAGAGGCAATATTTAAGGGTCTGTGTCCAAACATAAAATAGTTTCTTATTAATGTATACAAGACTGGGCAGGTATGGTAGAGAGCTTGAGGAATGGGATGTAAACCTTTCAGTCAGTTTCAACAAAAAAATGCAATGGCTACAGTATATTGCATGTTTACCACTGTGTTGGTGTGTTATCAAAAACAGCAGTGAGCTCTCCCTGCCAGTAAGGAAAACAATTTCATGATGTCATGCCCTCATCAGACAATCCTCTTGATATCATCCTGAGTTCACAGAAATGAAAGTGAAAAAGGTTTTCAGAAAATGACAGATAAGGCTTGGGAATGTTTCGAATGGCTTTGGGTTGTGGAACAAGCCTTAAAAATAGCCAGAGTGAGCTCGCTACAGGCAGGAAGCTCCACAATCGGAGAATCTGAGGTCTTACAAAGGGCTGAAGGATGACACAGTCTGGTGTGCTGAGGCTGTTCAGCTTTTCGGATCTGCAGGAAAAGGCTGTAAGGACAGATGACTGGTATGTTTCACATACACACTGCTGTCCTCCAGCTTGACTTCATACACTTGTTGCTGAAACAATAAAACAGAGACATAAGAGCTGGAAGATGGAAAAGAAACACCCCACTTTGAGCTACTGTGGAAACAGCACATAAACTGGATTAAATATCAATGTTAACAAGATGAAAAGCTAGTAAACCCTCCTGTGAAAACTCTTGACTTTGATGCCAACAGAATACTTGTGGTTATATTTCTTCGACTGTTTGGTAGTTGAAATCATGCCAATATACAAAAGACATTAGATTAGAAAATGGAAAATAAGGAAGAGCTTGTGGAATCTGAAGCAAGTCTAGACTGCTCATTAAACTTTACTACTTAAAAGTTGATCATATGACTTTTTACCTAATTCAAATGATTAAACAAATCTATACAAGAGAAAAGTACCCAACTACAAATAAAATAAATATTTTTATACAGAGCACAGGAAGATATTTAGATATTCTGGTGGAAAAATAACTGGATATTATGAAACTAAGCCTTATTTCATCACTGACCTGTAAGAAGGTCCCTGACTTCCCAGTCCTGAGGTCAAAGTTGTAGTCATGCCAAGGACAGAAAACCTGCAGGACTGCATCAGCCTCCTCGATGTCCCCCTCACACAGGGGACCACCTGGGGGGGAGACAGGAAATCGAAACAAATACTTAGTATCCACACAATGACTTCTACATGTGATTGTGACGCATCAAAAGGGACATGATGCCGTTCAAGTGGCGAAACAATGATCTTCATATTATGTGCTGTTGAAGTTACAGTCATCAGATGCATTAACCGTAGGCTACTGGATGTAATTCACATAACGGGTTAATCTAAGCGAGTACGGATCTGGGTGTTGATAGGTTGATTCTTTTACCAGAGTGTGAACAACGGGCATCCATTGCGAAAAACTCCCCCTTCACATAGAAGAGGCAGACATCTGAGTTGTGGCCGAAGGAGGAGTACATTAGACGGCAGCGCTTCTTGGAAAGCTCCGAGGCTGGGCCTATGAGTCTCCATGAAACACCATCCGCGTTTCCCTCTTCGACTCTGGAGCCAGAAGCCATAAAAAACGGCGAAATGTAATGGTTTTCCAATTATCGCTGCACCAGGGCTTCAATTTTTCCCTCGGTACAAATAGATTTGGCAGCTCGGCGCAAATATTCCATATTAAGCAGGAGGTCGACCACGGCCAGCCGTGCGCACTGAGCTGCATCCAGCAGGGACACCGTCACCAAAGCAGCGTCGT